CGTTATCTTCCACATTTTTGATCAGAGTCCGAATTTAATGAATTGTCGCGTCTAAAATCCGCCAAAAACTGGTTTCAATTGAACACCGGCTTAAATCTTGACACATTGAATTCAAATTTGAGCCGCGGCTCAAACTCTTTAATTTTGGTCTAAGATTAAGGTTTCAAGGTTTCAAGGGTACCATTTTAAATCGGACTTTGCCACCTTTACTCAAGGATCACTTGAAATTACGCTTACAGTCCCTTTAATACAGCATACAGTGAGAACCAGAAAACTCTGGAATGACTCTGACTTTAACTATGTGCAGTGTAAACAGACCAATTTTACATGTATGCGATTTACTACAGTCATTGTCTTATAAATCAATACAGTGAAGACGACTTTTTATTTCGATTTTTATTTCTAAAAAGCTTTCAAAGAGTAGAGAAACATAAAAACGTAAATATTGGCCTCGAGACAAAAACACTCTTTATGATTTATATATGTATTCCTTTTCCATAGTTTTCTGGTTCTCACTGTACTAAACCTAATGTTGAGCTCAGGGAGTACTCGACTTTCCCGTGAATAACTTGACATAATGTTGACGTTTAACCTAAACTATTCATAATCTTAATAATAATAATAATAATAAATTAATCATCAAAATTTTTTCATACTCATACTCTTTGTCTGGTGCTTTCTAAATAAAAAAATCTTTTTATTGCTATTAAAGGAATTGATTTTTCGCCACAAACTCTCAATTTCTAATTCAAATATCTTTGCAACCCAATGTCATAGACCTTTAATACTTAAAATAATGAATTCTGTAAGATAAAATTGTCCACATTTAAGAATCAAATGTTTAAACCATCAGGTTGCAAAGAAATGGGAATTCGAAAATTGGGTTTGTGGCTACAACTCAATTCCTTTGTGATAAAGTGCATTTATGAAAAAAGCATATATATAAAATAACATAAAATTATAATTAAACTTTCTAAAACCATATTATATGAATATTGTGTTTAATATTTGTTTGTTTAGGTATGGACTAGCATGCAACATGTTTAAGGGGGAAATATGGACAGCTGGAGGAGGCAATGATGAATATCTAGATGTTGTAGAAGTCCTCACACTGTTTACTAACACCTGGAGGAGTGGTCCTAAGCTGACCAAGGGGAGAGTCTACCTAACAATGGAGGTGCTGGACAACAACCTGGTAGTATTTGGAGGTGGAGGAGGTGGAGGTGTAGGAAGTGAATACAGCCTGGAAATGTTAAAGGAAGAAGGTTGGAGGGAGGAACCTCTGCAATATGGACATACAGACCATGCCTCTTTATCAATTCCTTGTTGATACAGAGATGTATGTTCATTCTATTGTAACTTAAATTAATAATTTAATTTAAAATATTCTTTTCTAAAAATAAATTGGATTTATTGCAGCAAGTTCTTGTTAATTGTTCTGAATAAAAGGAAAAGAAGTAGAGTACAGAAGTGTCAAGTTTTAAATATCACACTTTGAAACATAAAAAATATAAACATGTGTGCAACATAAAAAAGTTCACATCATTATATTATCTATGGTTTGATAAAAAATCGATCAAAAAACTATTTACTTGATACTGGTGTTGAATGATAGAAAAAGAATAATTAAATTTATAACAAAAGAATATTTGAAAAAAGTGTCACTTTATGAGACTTAATGTTGATTAAAAGTTACCAACGAGATTTTTTATTTAAAAACTGATTTTGTGGTTTATAAGGAATGTATAAAGGACAGTAATAAAAACGTACACTTGACCAAAATAATGAAAGAATAAATAAATTTTCAGAATTCCATGTTAGAAAATTGTTAATAATAAGTTCTAATATCTAATTCGTGTATCTTTGAAACCTTATGACTATTTTTGAAATATCAAAGGTTTACACCATCAGGTTGCAAAGAAATAGGAACCAGAGAATAAGACTTTCTGGCAAGTATTCAGTTCCTTAGTAGATGGTTTCAAAATCAAAATCATAAATGGGTTCTATATCTACCAAGATATATAAATGAATATGGAGACTGTTAGATTAGATTTTAATAGTTTATAAACACAATCATAGCCTATATGTGTACACTCAAGGACGAAAAATACACGAAGTAGTTAAAACCTTTCAATTTATATATGTATATGCAGAGTACTTGTTTTAACTTTAGAATCTTTTACTTTTTATCACCACTTTCTAAAAAAGGTGTTTAATCAATATTGTAAAGTAGATGGTTAATATTTAGAATTGGGAGGAAAGGAAATGAGTTTATGCCACAAACTCTAACTGTTTCCCCTCTTTATCTTAGCAACCCGATATCGTAGACCTTTGATATGTTAGATCAAATAGTCTAAGTTTGAAATATCATCCGCATACACCATCTGGTTGCAAAGATATATGGATTTGAAAATTTGAGTTTGTGTCAAAAATTCAATTCCTTTGGATAAATAGTAATAAAGTACAGTGTTAAAATCAAAGATTGAAATAATTATTTTTATACTTTTTTTTTAAAGAATGAACTTCAAAGAATACATATTTTTTTATACTCTAAATAATCCTTAGCCGATAAAACATATATTTTCACTTTTTTACATTGCTTACATTTTCTTCACAAATAGTTTTAACTAATGATAGTAATTGCTGAAATTTTGTTAGGCAAAACTAAATGATTTAGCATGTTAAATTGGAAGAAAATGTAACATTTTTCTCAAGTTTTAAATTTACACAATTAATTGTTCGTTGTCAAGTATTGCATTTGTATTATTTGAAGCAAAACATAAACAATGAATACATAAACATAATACGGTTGCATGTACAGTACAAAATAAGAAACACTTCCATAAAAGTATATTTTCAAGCACTGGACAATAGTAGGAATAGAATCCTTGTAAAAATTAACATAAATAATATATTTCACTAAAGATAATTATTTGAACTACTGTCATTACAACCTCAAGACGACTGCAGAAGTAAAAGTAGGGTAAGATGCACAATGTTAACCTCCCTCTAAGATACAACCCCTTGAGGAACACCATGATATGCAGTGAACTTTGAATATTCCTACCAAGAAGAGCCCTTCCAGAAGTTGAAGTTTGACTTTGATGTAGCCATGAAAATGTATCCTCTGGAACTACAGAAGTTCCCGTATATTTCCACGTGTTCTCTCTATGGAAAAGTGTGCTATGGAAAAGTCATAAAAATTAAAGATAATTCTTAAATAATCACACTATGCAATTCATGTCATGAAGCTTTATCAGATTCTATCGAACCTTTCCAGATTCTATAACGCATAAATAACTTCCAGTATATATATTTCTTATAACTTATTACTAGAGGGTTCAGAACTAGAGTCAATATCGATATCACATGTGTAGATGTTTATCAGTACTATGCCCCGTATCTGTTCTATCTCATTCTGTTGAATCTTGTGGAACTTGTTTAACGCGGCCAGGCATCTTCTTCCACAACATATTTTTTATACTCTAAATAATCCTTAGCTGGTAAAACATATATTTTCACTTTTTAACATTGCTTACATTTTTTTACAAATAGTTTTAACTAATACTAGTAATTGCAATGTTAAATTGGAAGAAAATGTATTATTTTTTCTCAAGTTTTTAAAGGACTTGAGTCTTTGTCACAAACTCAAATTTTTATAATATTTGATCTACCAGAATTCATAGTTTGAAATATCTAAGGTCTATAACGGCATTGGGTTGCAAAGATATAGGGATTAGAAAATTTGAGTTTGTGACAAAGACTCAAATCCTTTACACAATTAATTGTAGTTGTTAAGTATTGCATTTGTTTTATTTGAAGCAAAACATAAACAATTAATACATTAACAAAATGGTTGCATGTATTGTACAAAATAAGAAACACTTCCATAGAGGTATATTTTCAGGCTCTGGACAATAGTAGGAATTTACTGAGCAAAGAATCGTTATAAAAATTAACATAAAAAATATATTTCACTAAAATAATTATTTAAACTATTGTCATTACAACCTCAAGACGACTGCAGAAGTAAAAATAGGGTAAGATCACAATGTAAGATACAACCCCTTGAGGAACACCATGATATACAGTTCAACTTTGAATATTCCTACACCAAGAAGAGCCCTTCCAGAAGTTGAAGTTTGACTTTTTGTAGCCATGAAAATGTATTCTCTGGAACTAAAAAAGTTCCCGTATATTTCCATGTGTTCTCTATGGAAAAGTGTGCTATGGAAAAGTCATCAAAATTACAGATAATTCTTAAATAAACACACAATGCAATTCATATCATAAAGCTTTATCAGATTCTATTGAACCTTAACAGATTCCAACAAACCTTTATCTTTGTCTTTGAAACCTTTAGGAGATTCTATAGAACCTTTAGGAGATTCTATTGAACCTTTAGGAGATTCTATAGAACCTTTAGGAGATTCTATAGAACCTTTAGGAGATTCTATAGAACCTTTAGGAGATTCTATAGAACCTTCAGGAGATTCTATAGAACCTTTAGGAGATTCTATAGAACCTTCAGGAGATTCTATAGAACCTTTAGGAGATTCTATAGAACCTTCAGGAGATTCTATAGAACCTTTAGGAGATTCTATAGAACCTTCAGGAGATTCTATAGAACCNTTTTAGATTCTATTGAACCTTTTTTAGATTCTATTGAACCTTTTTTAGATTCTATTGAACCTTTTTTAGATTCTATTGAACCTTTTTTAGATTCTATTGAACCTTTTTTAGATTCTATTGAACCTTTTTTAGATTCTATTGAACCTTTATCAGATTTCATTAAACCTTTATGAAATTGTATCAACTAAATTTATTTTTCAATAAGTCGAATACGGCCACAGGATTTCTTCTAACGGTGCACTAGACTTCATCCTTGTCAGTGCTCACAATAATCTGCTCTGTCCCATTGAAGTTAAATTTGTCCCCAGGGTGTTTGTTTTCAGGTTTCAGTTGTAAAGCAAACCAGGACTTTTGTTTAGAACAATTCAGGCACTCCTATGTCATTTACCTAAATAATAGTTAAATATAGAAAATTTTGAATACAATTTTATTTTAAAATATCAAGAAGTTGAAATTCAACTTGATTAATATAAAAATACCTTTAACCCTTAACTCTTTTTTTTGCCAGCTTTAGGACTTCAGGGGAGTGAAGGAGGTTCAGCCTAATAATATGATAATTTTCATTTATAGTTTTTACAAGTATACATGCATTATACAAGTACAGAACAGGATATAAAGACCTGTTTTCTTTTGAAGCTCTTTGTTTCTTCAGTTCTAATTTTCGACAATTTTTTAATTTTGGTTTTTTACATTCTCCAATGTTCATTATACAAATTAAAAAAATAATTTAGATTATTTTAAAGATCTTACAGATTTACAAAATATTTTGACTCAACATTCCTACACTTTAATCTGGACATCAAGAAAAAATTTAATCTATGCAAAATTACTGTTACAACTTTGTGACTCTGTAGATCCTCTAGTTTCCATTATGTTTTTTAAATATATCAATTTTTGTTTAACAATCAATGTTTGTATAAAAAATATTGTTCTCTTTTATATTAATGTGTGTTCAATTGACACAAATTCATGTTCTTTTTATATTTAGAAAACATATTTTTTTCATTTTTAGAGACAGATATTAAAAATCTTATACAAATCCTTACCTTAATGTTTAAATGATTTAAATTAATCTCTAATTCAAGGTTTAAGGAAGGAGGATAGTAGAGAACTAACAGATATAGAATATGCTTATCTTTCAAGGAAATAGATAGATACAGAGATATAAAGATAGATAAATAGATAGATAGATAGATTGATAGATANGATAGTGTATTGGTTGCAGAAGGGGTACACCTAATATGAATATTTTTTAGACCTCGGAACCTCAGAAAATATTAAAACGTCAAGACTAAAAAAATTGATTTTAACTAATTACACACACTTCATTTTATCTTAGATAAATAATTTTGTCGGTTTTAATATGCTATTGAGATTATCTATATATATATATGTTTGTCTGTTAGTATCCAATAAGCGTCAAAACGGCTAAGCCGCTTATTAAATCTGCAAACTTTTGTTGTTATTGTTTTATATTGTAGAAGCTGAAGGGCCCGGCGTTTAGTTTCATAGTTTGAAAAAGTATATGTATACAACGTCGGTTTTCAAAGATATAAGGATCGTCAGATTTCAAAGATATAAGGATTGGAAAATCAGAGTTTGTTGCAAGAACTCAGTTCTTTTGACTTAGTTGCTTTTGAGGGGAAGGGACTGTTTTCTACCGCCCTATGATTTGTCCTTAGAGTTGAGAGAGATGAGTTACTATATAGGCCCAACTTATCAAGGACAGCTCATCAAAAAATAGACCTCTGCAAGTGAAGCTCAACTCAAGAGTTTAGGGTAGACTTGGCCGGGTTAGTAAAAACCAATTGACTTGGGTTTTCAACTCTTGAAGGCTCAAGTCTCGTAAGGCTGAAGATGGTAATTATGGAATACTTTTCATATGTACGGTTTGAGATGGAATACTTTTCATATGTATGGTTTGAGATGGAATACTTTTCATGTACGGTTTGAGTTTTCAAAATTTACACTGAGCCTATCCTAAAGATCTATCTACATGGTGTCCCAAAAAACATCGCATTTTTAAATAATTCTTTGATTTAGTTTAGTGATACGTACTGAGAAAGCTGTAATCAACTATTTGCATATATTCTTTTTAACCTGCACAGTGCACAATTCAACTATTTCCATATATTCTTGTAAACCTGCACAGTGCACAATTCAACTATTTGCATATATTTTTGTAAACCTGCACAATTCAACTATTTGCATATATTCTTGTAAACCTGCACAATTCAACTATTTGCATATATTCTTGTAAACCTTCACAGTGCACAATTCAACTATTTGCACATATTCTTGTAAACCTGCACAATTCAGCTATTTGCATATATTCTTGTAAACCTGCACAATTCAGCTATCTGCATATATTTTTGTAAACAGGCGGAGTTAAAATAATCATGTTTTTGCCAGCATATTTTTATATTCATTCTTGTTATGAAAATTATTGTTATCACAGATTTTTCAAGCACAAAAATACATTTTGTTACTTTTAAACCATTTTTTATTTTTGTAGGCACTAGGCAGTATGCAGGGGCGTATACAGCATACTTTTTTCATACTCAGGGGGGATTATAGGATTTTTAAACTTGACTTAACTTTAACATCATAGTTTTTAGAAAAAGGGGCTCCCCCACCCCCATGAAAAAAATCCTGTAGTCCTGAGTATGGTAGTAGTACGCTGACAATTCGGTGAGAAAGTCTACGATGTAGTATGTTGAATTCGGTGACATTTTTTCCGATATAATATTTTGATATCGGTGTATACCTCTCCGATATCAAATGTAGATATTGGTGAAGAAGTCATCCCTGTAGTATATACTCCAAAGCACCGATGTCGAAGTGTAGATTTTGGAGTTCATTTGTGCGCTGTCGCATGTACGATTTCGTATATACGACAGATCTGGGTGTGATCCTTTTACTATACTGCCAAGACCGACATCGAACCAGGTGATCGGAGCTCCGCCCAACTCCAGCGAAGCTTGTCGTAGAACAAGGCGGTATAACCGCCGTCGGTCTTTATGTTAGCTGGGTAACCTTAAAATAACAAAAAAATAAGTTCTGCTGAAATCATGTACAAAATTAATAGGACCAAAAACCAAAATCCGACAAAAAAATCAGGGAAACAGGTCAAAAAAAGTGAGAAATTTCTTAATTAATTAGATTTGAGGCGTTTCCTTAGCACTGTTAGTTTCACCCCCTCCTTTCAGTTTTTTACAAGACCAATAAGTTTACAGAAAAATTATCTTTATTTATTTAGTATTATTTTAGGGTTAGGTAAAGACAATTTCTGGGCCAAGCACTGGAGCAAAGGACAGACCAGGGGCCACGGGCTGCACAGAGGACAGGCTTGGGGGCTGGGCGCTACGGCCAAATGACAAATTATATCAATTTTTTACATATCACACCGGGCTGCAAAAATTTAGAGTCAAAAAAATTATCGTATAGGTTCTGAAAACAAGGGGTGCTTCTAAACTCCTCAGCTATCTCACCAAAATCAGAAAACTTATCTTCTCAAGTAGTAATGATTAATTGATTGTAACCATATTTTTCTTAAAAATTTGACACACAAACAGTCATTCATATCTCCAGTTCCAAGCAATATATAGAAAAAAAATGATTTTAGAATTCTCTAATCAGACTTGAAAAACTGTTAATTTTACTTCTGATTGTTACATTAATATTGGCTGTGGAGGTGTTAAAAGGGCTCATAGATTTTTTTACGATATTTACCAAGTTTCAAAACATAACTATCCAGAGGCTCTAGACAAGAAAGTATATTAAACAGCCTATTTTGTACAATTGTTTAGTAACTTTTCCACAAATAGTGTAATATGGTGGTGGTGCTATAAGGGGTAAGATTAAACTATTCATCTTTATTTAATGAACTTCTGGCCATGTTAACTGTTTACATACCTTTTTCAAACATGTAAAATAATATTTTTTTTATTGCAGAAGTAACAATAAGAAGCATAATATAAATATGCTACATTACAAAAACCCTACATTGGCTATATTCGCTAAAAGTTTATTGCCTGTTTGTGTCTAAGATTTGAATAATTCAAAAATTCATAATTAATATATATATTTAAAAACTCTCATAGTCGTAAATTGAAAAATTACTAGCGTATTGCAAATTATTACATATTATTCTTGAATGAGCATTTAATTCTATTTCTAGAGATTTCAAATACAGGGATAAACAAAAATTCTCGTTTCATATTTTTTATTTAACTACAAAGCACGAGGTAATACAAATAAAAAAATCACAATTTACTATGTAGTTTGGACCCGCCTAACCTGAGTAGGTTGTTTTAATTGGTTGGCCCACTATAAACGAATAATATAAATATCTATAACTAGCTATTCACAGTTGAATATATTTATCAGGCTATATTATGTTAATAGTCTGAGTTATGAATCGATATAAGTTTGGGAGCTGCACTTGACCTAAGGTAGAAGATTATATTTGTATATAAGTCTTTCTACTAGTAAGTTTCTTTGTGCACTGATCTCTTTTGTGCGAAATTTGTTTCAAAAGCGGCGAGTATTATCAATCAGTTTTAGATTTACAACATTATATATTCTATTTATTCGTACACAATAATAATGGTACAATTTAAAATCAACGAGAAATGAGAGATATAACATATAAAATATAGAATTAATATATATATAGTCGAAAACAATAAAATAAAATAAAAATAAAAACTTAGTTTTTACATATATCATCAATAATTACATCTATTTCATCATAGTTAAATCCTTCTAAAACATTTGGATTTGACCGGATTAATAGTAAATCTTTTAACAGTGAAATTCTCCACGCATTTTCAGCAGGATTCGTGTAAATCATGTTTGACTTAACTAGAGACTTGTTCAAGGACAGTTTATCTACAAAGGTTTCATTTGCAATATTAGATAAATTCTTACATAATTTTGTTCTTTGGTCATTTTTGCATAAATCAAACAATAGTCGGATTCTGAGCTTGGGACTTTTACACATAGATTTGCAAAATGATACAAATTGGCTACACAACATAGTTTTTAAATGAATTTGGTCAGAAATTTGTTCAATAAAATATCTATGAGTTTGTTGTGGCAAACCAAATAAAATATGAATAGCAGTATTCCAAGAAGTATACAATTTTACAGTGTTAACACAAAACAAATCCCATAAGTTGGAACCATTAATTAATCTATAATTCTGTGATAAATTTAAATTTTGTTTTCTCGTTGTAAACTACATTAAATTATTTATGCTTGTTTTTAACTTTATTTGAATTCTTAACTCAAGATATATTCTTTTCAAAAGTATGTTTACCTAGTCCCCATAGATAACCAATATCTCCAATTGCCACATCACAGGGATACGATTCAGTTTTCCCATCTATATAAATATAATTTTAATATGATTCATTAATGTTTCTGTCTAGCTTAAACATAATATTCAAGTACCTGGGGGTCGCGGGGTGCAGTTTAAAAAAAAACATTATTTGAGAACATAAAAACTTACATACTATAATTATATTTTATCCTATATTCTAGTAATTGTAAAATTGTAATTTAAACTTAAAATTAAAATTAGATTTTTTAATTTAAAAGGTAAAGGTTTCCACTGATGAAAGAAAGCTTTGGAAACGTCTCCGATCTGTTTGCTCTCCGTGTTACTAATCTCCGACGTCTTGGTGCTTGTACTGGTAATTATGAACAGACGAGAAAATGGTTGGTTGAAGTTAGGTCTCAACTTCTCTATCTCCGTGACCTAGCTGTAAAACATGATCTCTATGAAGAACTCTACATGCATCCTATCGTCGGGGAAGTAATTGAAAATATTCCTCATGATTCGTTGGTGGATTTTCAAAAGATGCTTTTTAAACTAGAAGGAAAAATTAGCGGTCAACGTCTTCTTGAAGAATTCATCCCCTTCCTGGATGAGATGGTCACCTTCTACAATAAAAGTCACTCTTTCAAGTTGGACCGTGGAGTTGATCCTGATAAGCACCGCAAACCTGTGCATGAAATCAAGAAAACTGCCACCCCTTCCTCAAAACACGCTGTAAAGAATAGTATGCATACCTCCGCGCCGAATTCTCCCAAACCTCTCAAGAAGACTGGTAGTGGGGTATATGTTTCTAAAGCCTACGTCGCCCCCTCTCTGAAAGATTGTAAGCTGTGTAAGGGAAAACATACACACATCTACTACTGTGATCACTTCTCTGATGCCAATATTCTCACAAATAGAATCCAAATAGCTCAACGGGTTCGTGCTTGCTTTAGATGCCTGAGAATGGACTCCGAGGTAGATGTAAAGGATCGTGAAGGTTGGGAAGCTCGTCATCGTCCTCAATGTCAATCTGAATGGGCCTGTAGTATTGAAGATTGTGCTGACCGTCCTAAGAATAGACAATTTCATTTCACCCTTTGTAAATGGCATGTCGAAGAAAACAAGAAAATTCAACCTGATTTTCTGAAGAAGTTGGATCCAGCTCAAACTAAACCTGGAACCTCATTCTTCTTCAATCTACCTGGGATGTACAATCTGAACCCTGTTTCGGCTCCAGTTATCTCCGGGAGCTCTGATAAGAGGATTCATAGTGATGTGGACGATCCCAGTATTTTTATGCTCCAAAACTACACTGTGAATGGTAGATCTCTTCTCACCTTTTATGATTCTGGCTGCATGGGCAGCGCAATGTCTGATAAAGCTGCAATTCTCCTTGATAGTACTTGCATCCGTCCTGGACCTACAAAGATGGATGTAGCAGGAGGAAAAACTATTCTGATAGAGGGAGGAGATGAGCAATTTCTCCTTGATCTGGTTGAACCTAATGAACAAGCTACAATTACTGCTCTTAGAATGCCTCATGTCACCACAAAGTTTCCCCTCTGGAGAATCTCTGATGCATGGAATGATATTCAAAGTGATTATAACTCTGTAAAACCTAGTCTTGAGCCTCTTTCCCCTGCTCCTGCCAAGATAGGTGGAGATGAAGTTGACCTCATGATTGGAATAAGGTACCAAAAATATTTCCCTGTTCTTCNGAAACACACTTATCACGAATGAAACTGTTAATACACTTTATTCTATTGGTAGCATGGTGTTCAAAAACGTTTTCAAATGTTTGATCTCATGATATACTGCACCAAATCGAAATCTTCATCACCTCTACCACCCTGTCAAACATGATCCTGCTGAATTCCTCCATGATGTCCTTGACGAAGATCTCCTGCTCCCTGATGTTGAAATTGTTGCGGAGCAAACCACACTGGAAAGTTCCTGGACGTACTCCTCCCTGAGAATCCAAGCTGGCTGCGCTGCAGCTAAACTTCTCAGGCAACTTCTTCTCCGGGATAAAACCTATATCAGGCAGGTGTAGTTTGTTGATCATCGCAGGTGTGTTGCAGTCAAACGACTGTGTCTTGAATGCTGACTCCGGCCAGTCCGAACTGCATTCCACCTTCAAAATTGAAGCCATAAACAACATCAGAGTAATCATTGTCCGTAATATTCTCTGACTCCCAGATGACTGAATCCTCCTTGGTTTGCTATGCAACTGACAAACTGTGTCTGTTGTATGATTTAAACTCGCGACGGTCTGAGCTGTGTTCAACACTGCAGCTGTGTCGCTGTACCAGCCGGTGCTATCACCACCGGGGTCCGGTCACTCGGGTGTATTTATCGCCCTGGCTGTGTTTCTGGTCCCGGCTCCCCTGTCTATTTCTGCACCCGCGCCTGGAGATAAATGTACCAGCATGTCTTCTTCCTCGTCACTGATTGGTTTCTTCTCCGCGTTTCTGGTCCTGGCCCGCCTGTCCATCTCTGCAACCGTGCCTGAAAGTAAATGTACCGGCAGGTCTCCTTTTTCTTCACTGATTGGTTCACTCTACCAATAAACAATTCGCCGCTCTTTTACACTTCTTTGATTGGTCCTTAAGGTCCCAGCTGTTGTCGTACTCTTCATAACTCACTAATTGATGTTGCCCCATCATGTTAATAGCTGAACAATTCCTGTGGATCTAGGTATTGTTTCTAGGGAAAATGCTAAAATTCCCAAAACGGGCACAAGCTGCTCGAAATTTGAACTAAGATTTTTTCCAATTTGACAACTCTAAAGTTTAAAAGTTTCAACAATTATTAGATTCTTCTTAACTTTGCAAATTTTAAGTAGGGATAGGAATTTTTTGGTTCGGTTTTAGACATTCAATGTTAAAACCTAAGGGAACCATCTTGAATATCAGATTTTTCACGCATAGTAAATTCTATTTTTTTAAAACTATCAAATCTATCAAAACGATTACATAGTAAATTAATGTTTTTGGTTGATCTATTTTTGGTCAGACTAAACAGTTTTATGAAAACTAACGCAAACAATTTGGAAAAGAATAAACATTAAACAATAAACATCTTAGATTCTTGTGGAGCATAACAAAAGTAAAGATAACCTTAAATGTAAAATACCGGACCACAGAACGATGTTCATCAAGAAGTTCATGAGAAAATTATTAAAATTTTTCTAGATTAAAAATGCAATCTCCGGATCTATCATCCAGTCCTGGACGGAGAAGAAGGAACAAAAAAAATAATTTTTAAAAAATAAAATATTGGAAACCTATGAAAGTGTTAGAAAATATTTTCATCAGTTTTAAACTTTTAAATATTTTGTTTTGGTTTGTTTAGAGGTCGATTTGATTCAACTGTCTCATCAAACTTTAGGAAAATAATTGTTAAAAAATCAAAAACTCAAACAATATTTGTGATTTAATTAATTCATACTTTCAATTTTATAGTTATAGTTATAGTATTTATTTTCAAACACAAAAGAAAATTTATTATGAGTCAATTGAAGATATAATGTTTGATAATTTTGTTTGATCGTATTTGTTGAAACTATACATATTGAAATCTCAACTAAACATACCTTCATTGTGCATTTACAAGTAGATAATTAGTCAGCACTCAAATAATCAAAACATGTTCAGGGATGCATTCATTGAACTTATAAATACATATTGATTCAGCAAAAGTAGCAATGTATTCTCGTTGACTGTAGTAGACTTGACATCTACCATTAGAAAAGGGTGTGAACCCATACTCGTTGACTGTAGTAGACTTGACATCTACCATTAGCAAAGGGTGTAAACCCATACTCGTTGACTGTAGTAGACTTTGACATTCTTCATTAGCAAAGGGTGTGAACCCATTCTTGTTGACTGTAGTAGACTTTGACATCTACCATTAGCAAAGGGTGTGAACCCATTCTTGTTGACTGTAGTAGACTTTGACATCTACCATTAGCAAAGGGTGTTTACCCATACTCGTTGACTGTAAAAAGGTTATATAAGGGTTGCGGCCCTAGTTGAATAATAAAACAATCGATTAGTTACCAGACACATTTCAAAATACTATAATTAACCAATCAATCGGTTTAGATTAATCAATCGACCCCAACCGATCAATTTAGCTAGATAAATCAATCAACCCCAACCGATTTTTATTCATTAATCAAATAAATCATGCATTTAATTGATGTAAATCAACCAAAAAATCGGTTTATTTAATCAACTAAGCAATCGAATTATACAAATTAGCCAATCAATCGGTTCAAATAAATCAATTAATCAATGATCTAATAAACAAATTAATCAATTAATTGATCTAGTTCCGGATCTGCACAGAGGAGTAGGGATAGCGGAGAAACTGATCGAGGAGGGTTGGGTCGGGATCTACAGGAGAAAACTAGTAGAGAGGAAGCCATTGAGAGATATCTTCAACTTGAAAAACAAAAAAGGCAAATTCGCCCCCCCCACACCGATACTGCCATTCTACTCTAGTAAAATAAGTGGACACACATTTACATGGAGTAGTCATAGTTTAAACCAAACTTGCCCAAACTAGATGAAATATTTAGACCAAAGAAACTAAACATAAGCCCAAACTAGATGAAATATTTAACCCAGAGAAACTAAACATATGCCCAATTAGATGAAAAGCTTGAAATATCAAAATTTTCATTTACAGCATCAGGTGGCAAGATTAATGGAATAGAAAATTCGAAATTCGAGCAAGTTTTAAGTTCCTTAATTTCAGAGATTTGACGCGAAGAAACCAGAAGATTCAAACTAAGATAGCTCAGTATGTTCGGAAAAACAAGATCGAACTCTCATTTCCAACCACTGCAGGTTCATCTACGAGAAAGGGTGTATCTCAAAAAAAATATTGATTATTAAGATCATTACGATTAAAAAAATGTTAAAAACTACTTTTAACTGGAGTTCTCGGCCTTGTCCAGGTTTAATTATTATTCATAGTCAAAGTTTCTCTCGACGTTTACTCGCTTTTGGTATTGAATTTTGATTTTAATCGGGGTGCCCGATGTTGCCCGTGGAATTTTAAACAATTAAAAAAAATTTGTCATTTAACACCCACGGGGTATTTTATAGACTTTTATCTTCATGTATGAATGGTGATCTCAATAATTTTGTTTTTGTTTATTAGGAGTAGAAGGAGAAGGAGAGGAAACCTTTAAGGAGGAATACAACAGACTCCTTCAACAACTTCAGCATATGAAAGAACTCAGGTTCTATCTTGTTACTTTCGAAAGGAGATCGGAAAAGAAAATTTGTTAAATGTAAATTTAAAGAAACTGAAAGCGTAATTGCAATTGGCAATGCCCGATTCACAAAGAAACACTTAAATTTTATCTTATAAATAATGTGGAAGATATTGTCGTTTTTCTAGGTTTAATAGTGTTTAATTCTGATAATTTCTATATGGTTTCCTGCAGTAGAATGCTAAAGTCAATAATGTAGAGAAGTCACTAACTGTGATACTTGATCGAAAAAGTTTAAAATGTACCTTTATGAATCTGGCCTTACTTGAAATCATTCTTTAAGGGATTAATTTGTATAAAAGTGATATTGTTTTTGTAACTAAGTGTTTACTCGCCTCAAACTCCCTAATCCCTATATCTTTACAACCTGGTGCAGTGTATCTTGAAATTGGAGTGATATCAAGATTAAAATCCTGTCTCAGGGAAGCTGATAGTATTGCCTTTGAGTCTGAGATGAACTCCCTCCAGGAAGAGAAGAAGAAACTAGACAGAGAAATTAGAAATGTGGAATCTACATTAGACGGACATAAAAACAAGGTTATATCTCACAAGTTCTTTCAAGTGAATTGTAAGTTAGTAAGTAAGTAATTATCTATTTATTAAATATAACAAAACATAAAAAAATTAAGTGTTTTAGGAGAAAATATTTAAAAACCTCCAAAAATATAGGTTGTGAGAATATTCCCAATTATAAAGAAGGTGTATAAAAAGAAAAAACAAACAAATATTCTGCTTGTGTGGAATTTTTAGAAGAAAACCCTTGATTGTTTAATTCTCTGAGTAGAATAGGATTTATGATCATTTATACAACCATTAAGCTGCAAATATTTGTAATTAGAAAAATAAAGTACGAGATAATGAAACAGAATAACCCTTAAACCCTGATATAATTTTTTTCCCTTGACATCTCCTAGGCTATTACCTGGATAATATTTAAACCATGATATGCTCCTGAATATGAACCTGTTCTCTAGGTAGCTAGAATAGTATTGGATAGTGCTACTAGCGAACCTTTAAATCCTGATATATTCCGAATATGAACCTTATCTCTAGGTATATAAACAGCATGGGATAGTGCTACGAAAGAACCCTTGAAACCCTGATAATATTCTCTAGGTAGCTAAAACAGCACGGGATAGTGCTACCGGAGAACCGCTAAACCCTGAAATTATGCTGAAGTTGAACAAGAAGCAAGCGGAAAAAGAAAATGAATTAAGAAAACTTCGATTAGCAAATATCAGGTTAAAAATATGATAAATTCATTTAAATTTACTTTTGGAAGTTAAGTAAGTGTCAATTGCTCAATTTTTTTAACGATAAATTAATTAATAGTTATAAACGTCTTGGTTTATGTATCCTTGCCTTAACCTTGCTTTGATCGTTTTCAATCTATGCACCTCAAATCTTTTTTTCATACGAATATTTTAGGATACAGGAAAAACTGAGAAAGTTTGAGATCGAAAAGAAAATTAAGAAAACAGATTCAAAATCATTAAAAAGGTAGTTTTTGAAGTGAGAACCAAACAACTGTGGAATAGGAAGACGACATTAATGCAATACCTGAGTATATTTGATGTTGTTACTATGCAAATAGTTTTACTAGGAACTTATTGAATCAATAAATATGTGAAATGGGTTTGTTTAAACTGCACATTTGCTGTGTCTCATGTTCATATTAGACTATTTACAATTAAGTCATTCCTATTCCAGAATTTTCTGGATTTCAGTTTCAAAATAATTTTTAGTCAAACATTGATAATTTGTTTTTTTATCAAATGCAAACCATTACACTTAATTAAAAAGAGATTTGTTGAACTGGAGTCTGGAGCTTAAGCGTTTTCATGTTTATGAATTCTCATACAATGGTTAGCGATTACATCAATACAATGAAGACGATTTTTTTCATTGTTAACAAGCTTTTCTCGAATTACAAGTTTACAAGTAGTCAAAGAAAAGCTTTTAAAATTGACAGCTTTTCTTGACTTCTATGTTTATATGTATCCAGTTGTTTAACAGCTTGATATAAATCAAAATTTAAATCAAAAGTCGTCTTCATTGTATTGATATTATCGCCTACCACTGTAGTTTGCCTGCTAGATATTCAAAAGTTTTCCAGTTTCAAGATTTAATAATATCGTCATCCAGTAAAACTATATCGTTAATTAGTCCAATATGACACTCTGTACGTCTCTTAAGATCCTAATAATATTTTCTAATATCAGAGAAGAAATATGGATTGAGAATACTGCTTTCAAGGATAAACTAGAGGAACAGGCGGATAAAATTAATGGAATCAATCACAGGTAAAACATGTCAAATTTTAGAAATCGTCTTTTTTCTCCGCAGCATTCGTTAACATGACCGAGATATCAAGAAATAAGAGCTAGTAAATAGTAATTCATTAAATATTACCAAAATTGTCTAAAGGAAATAGCTGAACACTTGTTACAAACTTTGATTTATAACACTTGTATATTTCTAATTAGGAATTCTGCTTGATCAATTTGCCTTAATAAGAAATAGAATCCCATCGTTAGTTTGCTGAGATATATGTTTCTTTAAAGGGTTCCATCGATTATCCCTCTTCTGATTTTACAGGGTGTCCCTGCACGAAATATGACAGTAGCAAGACGAAATAAAGGTCGTCTTTGATATTTGAAATAATTTGCTGCATTTATTCATAAACCTAATTTTAGAAGTAAAATTCTTAAGTTGATAATAAAAAAATACCGATAGTCTTGGCATTTACAAAATGTGGTCTGCCTCTTCGGTGCTTTTAATATTTCCGGAGATATGAACAATTTCGTTCAGATTTCGACAATTTAGGTTTTATTAAATAAAAGTGAAATCTGAACAAAATTCTTAATACATCCGGTAAGAATCCGGGAAAAAATGACATTTAGCTCAATTTTGATTTTTGGGAAGTTTACATCTATAGGTGGATATATGGACAGGACAAACAAGGCAGACAATTTTGAAATGCCGTGTTTAGGAGAACTTGTGAAAGTAGAGTGACGACTGAATGTCAAAAATAAATAAAAAGTTCAAGGACGACCTTCAGTTCGTTTTCCTACTCAAATGCTTCCTGGGACACTCTGTATTTGAAGACTGCAGTAATTCACATTTTAGACTCTAATTAAGACTTTTAACTCGTTTTAACATCCTTTCGTAAACTTATGTATACGTATATGTTATATTACGTCATTTTCAACTTATTACTTATAGTAATAGGTTATTTTATCTTTTGTCTGATTTACATAAATGTTTTTACTATGTATTTTTGGCAATAAGATGAAATGAAAAATAAGAACGCAAAATCATCTGAATTTGCAAGGTTAAGACGCAAAACAAATTTTTTTGTTTTTGATAAGTCTTGAATTTTTACCTTCTGATATTGTTGAGGATTGCTAGTGATGTTGTGATGCTCTCACATCTCGGCTTGAAGCTTCATTATCTGAAGGAGGAAACTCAAGTTCTAGCAGCTGAAGAGGATTCGGTCAGCTCTAGGCTGGATAGAGTCAGGTAGGGTTTCCAATAGAATTCCATTGCGCGATTACATTGTGCGGAATTTCGCCATTATCGAGAACAGGTCGGAATTGCGTGCTACTGAATTACTTTGCAAGTGGGTTCAATATGGGAATAAGGGTGTGTTGACGTATTTTTAATTGAACCTCTAATGAAAAGCAGGGGTGTATATTTCCCTAAAAAATCACCCCCCGTTGTATTGAAATAATTTCTCCCCCCCCCAAACAGTTCAGTATGTATGTAAGCAAACTTTATACGGTTTTATCCGCTGAATGGGGTAAAAATAAAAGATTTTTGGGGGAATATAAATAAGTTTTTGATAAGAAGCATAAAAAGGATGAAAAACTTGCCATGTCCAAGTTTTCATTTAGTTTCTCCACCGATCTTTAAAATCATCGTTCCCCCTGGAAATATTCTCGCTATTATACCTAAAAACTTATAAGTTTCAATTGCAATTTTCTTATTTAGACAGCAGAGGCAAGGCTGAAAATTTAGACTTTATCTAGTTAAACTCCATGGTAACTGTTCTTGAAAATGTTTAAGGTTTTAGACTCTTTAACATAGTCTGGCAAACTGTTCCATGGGTTTATCACTCTCACAGAAAAAGAGTTTTTTTCTTATGTTAGAATTGAATTGCTTCACATTTAAATTAAAACTACAATTGGATTGGATTGGATTGGATTGTCAGTCTATTCGCTATATCGCATGTTCTGCTGAACCATGAAGATTCATCAACATTAATGTCGAATGCAAATGTATACATTGTACATATAATTTTAATTATTAAAAACGACCNTGGCGCTACCCGGATCCATATCAACGTTTCCTGATACGGATCCGGATCCGACCAAATGATACGGATCCGACCGGATCCGGATCCGAAACACTGGTTTATACATACTTATTGTGGAGAAAAGTTACTAAATATAGATGTCAACAACGTAGTAATAATCTTTTTTTTCTGCATAAGATTACAACGCATCATAATTTGGAATGTAAATAGAATATAACAAACGTTATGGTTTAGAATGGTAATATGGTAATTCTAAAAACGAGATTGTTAGGTCACAAAATAATTATGCATTGCAATATTTGATTCGAATTTGTTCTTTAAACAGGGTCAAGATTGAACTTTTTACAGGACTAAATAATGTTTTCTAACACTTTTCCATTGGTTTGGTTTCTGATCTCCTTAATCGTTGTAAAGCAATCTGGTGGGACTGGGAAGAGTCCTGCTAGGTAGAGGACCAGGAGTAGGATACAGAGGGCTAGAACGAAGAGAATGAGGACGGAGTAGGACAGGTTGTGATAAGACGGATCCTGATATTTCTCTGATTTCTCCAGGGTATGAACAGTATCCATGGTTTGTGAACCGTCCTCTTCTCTCCTGATCTTCTGACTGGTTGTCTCAACAATCTTCAAATAATGGTTTCTGGGTCCTCCGTCATCTGGAATTTAAACAGGATTTGGAAATGAAAACCTTACGAAATATTGTTTGCATGATTGTAAAGATAATTTTCAAGAAAGGCAGAAATGATTAACATAAATGGGAAAAACTAGAATAAAATTATAAACAATTTTAGTTAGCAGGAGTTGGAGGTTTATGGAAGAAGGGAAAAACGTTTTCATTAACTGTTAAACCTTAATTGAAAAAATTCGGACATTAAAACATATTTTTTTAAAATCCATTTTATTCCCTTTCATACTTTCATTTTGTGAGTTTTTATTTAGATTTAGGGCAAAACTAATATATTTTGCTAACAGGGAATACTTTCGAATGAAGTCTTTTTACCACAATAATCTTTTATAGCAAACCAAAAAAACCATCCAGCAGGGGTGTATATTTTCTCAAAAAATAATTTCTTCAGCCTACCCCCAAGAAATATCAAAAAGAATTAAAAAGTTGCCTTTTGACGTCATTCTCTCCGTCCATACCAGAGTCCCTCTTACTTCCGGTGAATTTTCCTGCCAACTTCTGACTGCAAAAAATAAAATTGTTTGTTATAACACTGTTCCAAGAGCTGAACTCCGAGCCGCCGTAATGTCCGCCTCCCTCGCTCATTTTGTCCAGTTCCACCTCCGTGATCAAGTCTCTGACTCCGTTTATGTACCAGATTCCACAGTTGTTCTCCATTGGCTAAACTACGACAAACGCCCCTTGGGAACTGCAGTACGTAACCTTGTGGTTGAGATCCTCAGGCTGAGTGATATCAAACAATGGCACCCTGGTGAGAAGAAGTTCGGGATGAAGAGGATGAGAGTTCGATCGTTGGTCGTAGTCTACCGTGAAGCTGAACTGGACCTCTACCAGATCCTAGAGCAGGCTGCTCAACATGTTCCCTTGAGCCCTGACTCGGATCTTTAAGTGATTTTTCTTTTTCAGGTTTAGAATCTTGAGATAAAACTAAGATACAGTGATTTCTTATAAACAAAGTTCAACTAGTTAAATATATAATCCGCCTACAGTTGACCCGAGAATTCATAAAATATCAATAACTCAAAGATTCTTATCTAAATCTGATTCTGGCTTTATCATCTAAAGTATTTGTGGAATCCATGTGCTGTCCGCTGAAAACTTAAATCAAATGAAAGATTCTGAAGTGACACTAGGAACAAAACTATATAGAGTGAATTCGACAGTCGATTCAGCCACTGAACATCTTTTTGGCCTGGCAGTGTAAGATCTACGGATCTGTTAATTCTTAATGTTCAGGTTGAATCTGAAAAACCGAACCTAAAGAAGCACATGAAGACCTGCTCAACATTCTCTCTCTGTTCCAAGCTTCTATGTTCTCCACAAACTATAAACATTTATCTCCTGAATATAAACTAATTTTATTTGAGATTGACTAAAGTTTTATACTAAATGCACATGGTCTATTTATAATCCTGAGCCTATAAGTTTATATCCTTAAGCCTAAAAAGCTTTTTTATACTGCTGATATTTAATTTGGAAACTCTGATTTTAAAATATATTTA